ATCATGAAATAAATTCAAGTTTTACATCTATATCTTCAGATTTTGGTGAATTTGTATCTGCCGAAGATACGCAAACAGTATTATTTGAATCTGATAAGGAACTTGGAAAATCAAAAGATTCGTGGATATATAATACAGATATCAAATTTCTTGATAATTTAAAGTCTACTCATCAAAATATTCCTCAACAAAATTTAGAAAGTTCATCATCATTTTTATTTGAATTTGGGGAAATGGTATCATCAGTAAATGATTATGATTCATTAAATCAAAATTTGAAACAAGATAAATACAAAAATTCTCTAGAATCAAATTCCAAACAAGATTCATGGATGTCTTTATCTGACCTTTCATTTTTAGAGTCTATTACTAATTCTAATACTACTTCTTCAAAGATTTCTTTTCGTAAACAAAATCAAGATTTATTATTAGATTTTAATAATATTTGTTCAGTGGAATCAGCTGCTAAATAAATTATAATAAATTTAATTGTTACGTTTTTTTTTGTTTTTTTTTAAACTTTACAATAAATTTTAACTTAACCTCAATTTATAATATTTACGTTCAATTTTACATTGATTATATGATTTACAAACATAATTGATAATAAATTAATTATTATTGCTTTAATTAATTAGATTATTTATCTAAAGCTTTAATTAATAATTTTTAAAATTTTCTATATTTATAGTTTTACTTGTAAAATTCGAATTAATCAGGTAGTAGGATGTTATATTTAAAAGTTAAATCTCATATTTTTTAAAAATTACAACAATATAAAGTTATAAATTAAAACTTTAAAAGGCTTTTATTTTATTAAAATTTTTGCAATCATTATTTATAATTATTATAATTACTTTTTTTTATAAAAACCAAAGATAAAATTTTAAGTATGTTGTAAAAAACTCTTTTTTGTAGATCTCAAAAACAACAAACAAAAAAAAAATTTTTGAGTAAAGCAGAAAAGATATAATATAACAAATATAACTAACTAAATAAATTTTATTATAATACTATCTAACATACACATAGGCAACATAGCAGATAATAGGAAAAGAGAAACTATAAAAACAAAACCTTCAGCTTCTAATAAGTGTTTGCTGATACCAAAAATATTAACAATACAATCTGTTATATCTTTAAATTATTCTGTATAAATTATCTGATAATTATATCATATAGATATTCTGATGTATAATTACTAATTAATTAATTAAACTCAAACACTACTCAAACTAAATAAGATATAATTCACAAGAATATAATTAGTTAATTAATATATTCTTAATAAGATCAAATATAAATAAAACAATTGAAAAAAAAATTTTCAAGTTTTATTTAGCTTTGATATAACTTATACTCTTAAGCTTTTCAGGATATTATATCTTTATTGAACTTTAATCTTGATGTATCTAAGATTATCTTTTCTAAAATACTTTG